AGCATTAAAAGGCTGTGACAATCTCTTTGCTTTGTACATCCTTCCACCTTTCATCCCAGATGCAAATATTTCTGCAAACCGCTGGAATTTTCTGATTGAATGCTTAGAAGACTTGGACAGTAGTCTAAAAAGCCTTGGTTCACAACTTCTTGTAGTACAAGGCTACCCAGCCCAAGTTATTCCAAGCCTGTTGAAGAATTTACATGTCACCAAGTTAACATTTGAAAGGGAAAGTGAGCCATTTGGTAAACAGCGAGATGCTGTCATAACACATCTTGCTGAAAGTGTTGGTGTGGAAGTAGTTTCATGTACCTCTCACACACTGTACAATGTTGATCAAGTTACAGAGCTAAATGGCAATGAGACACCAGTGCAGTTTCATGAATTCCTTGATGTTATCTCTAAAATTGGACCCCCAGAACACCCAGTGGCGACAGTGAACCATGGCATGCTTGCATCTCTTTCAACTAAAGGAGTCCCATTCCAGGACCAAAACATTCCTTCTGTAGAAGATCTTGGGATTGATAAATCCAAGGTTACATGTAAGGAAGTATGGCATGGTGGAGAGGAAGAGGCATTGAGAAAACTTGATTCTTTGCTGAAAGAGGTTTGTAACCAAAGGTGTAATAATTATATTAATTTTATAGTAATAATTTTAGTCAACTCATACACTGCACTTTGGCTCTTTTCATAGAAATTGCTATATTTTATTTCACGTATTTAATTATAGACAACTGCATGGCTTAGAAAGGGGGTGGTACAGTGGAACCTTAGGGGTTACTATTGACAAACACTTAAGCTTTGATGTACACGTTGAGGAACTGTGCAAGAAGTTATCCCAGAGAATAGCGGTTCTTAGAAAGATAAGGAGATTCATCCCTATTGAACAGCGCATACTTTACTAAAATGCTATGATCAAACAAGTAATGTTGTATGGATCAACTATTTGGTCAAACTGCTCAGCCGATAACTTGATGAGAATCCTCAAGCTGCAAAAACATGCTGCCCGAGTAATTTTAGGAGCTGACACAAGATCAAATAGCGTAAATCTCTTTAATAAATTAGGGTGGCTCCCATTTTATGACGAAGCTAAAGTCAAAAAGTGTTCGCTAGTCCTTAAGCCCCTTCAAGGAAACTGCCCCAGCTACATGTATGACCTTCTTAGATGCAATGCAGATTTACACACACGCAGTGGGCGGTACAGTGCCTTAAACCTCGTCTGCCCCAGATATAATTGCGAATCTGAGTGAGGGAGAACTTTTAGCATGTACACGAACAGGCTCTGGAACTCTCTGCCCATTGACCTTAAGAAAGGAACATGTGTAACCTCATTTAGAAAGGCTATTTATAGTCATTTTTTAACGAGATACAATGACGTTGATCATTTTAGCTTTAGTGAAACTTAATTTTATTTTCTTAGTTTTATGCTAATCTGGTATTTCACAACCTTCCTTTCGCTTGACCCATCCTAGCTGTATTCTTATTGTAATTATAGTTTGTAGATATTCATTGTAAGGATATTTTATAATTGTAATATAGTTTTTTACTCTTCTTAGTCTTATCCATACATATATTTATAGTTCTTTTTCGTTAATGATATGTATTTTGTTACTTAATTTTTGTTTTAGAATGTTAGTTTGAGGGCCACTAGTTATTCAGTTGAAGTACTGTCCCGTGTTACCCTCGTTAAATAAAAGTTGATTATTATTATTATTATTATTATTATTATTTATGAAGTGCCCCAGGACTGGGGAAATTTGTTTGTTACATCGAGGATTCGTTATATCAAAAACCTCAATTAAACAAATTTTAGGGAAAACAAACAAAATGTTATGGTATCTTGGAGCTGTGCCATCTCTAATAATTCTTTCGTTTACTCTTTAATTTGCAGATAGTTTACAGCAACTTTCACAGTGATGGTGGAGCAAGCAAGCTGAGCCCTTATCTTAGGTTTGGTTGCCTCTCTCCACGAACTTTGTACCATTCTTTGTCAGAAACTTACCTGAAAGTATGTCACTTTATTATTTTCTGACAATGTTATTTGATCTTATTAATTTTGTAATGCTTTTTGTTGTATGTTCTGTGGGTGCCAATAGGTATGATTTATATGTGTTGATGGATAAGCACTGTAAGGTGGCTGATAACAAGTTGACTTAGATCAAAATGTAATTTCACTGTTCCATTGAGAATACCCACATGCATGAGCAATAAAGAACACATAGAGTAACTAAAGAAATGATCATTATACTCACTGGGCATTAATATGGGAGACACCACTTGTTGATTGGCATTGGTGGTGGCTTTCATTATGTAACCATTTAAAGACCTTTCTTCTCCTGACACTAGGAGGTAAAGCTCAGGCCAACATCAAGGACTCAACACAGCAATGCACTGCAGTGGCAGAACACTTTGGCCAGCCATGTGCCACCCTGAGAAGAGTATTGGCAGGTCACAAGAAAACTAGAAAGGGGCACCCAATGACGGTTTCCCCTTAAATACATTGAAAACACTTTTCAGAGTAGTTTTAGATCTCTAGAAATGCATTCTAGGCGAAGCTTTAAATTTGTATCTGTTTGGTCATCCGAAGGGAACTTGCGCCTTTTCAAGGCACATGTTTTTGAGTTAAGAAGGGTATAGTCCTTGTGGTAGATTATTGTATGTCAGTACCTTTTTGTGTCGTTGTGATCTGCAAAGTGGAACTTTGAGAAAGCATTTGCATGTAAAAAGTAGTTATTCTCCATAGCAATATCCTTTTTCTAAATCATGTTGTTATTTTTCCTTTTACTGTTGATCTTTAGGTCAAGCATCAGGCTCCTCCCTTATCACTTTTCAACTCGCTGCTGCAGAGAGATTTCTATTTTACTCTTGGCAGCAACAATCCCACCTTACACCAGATGGCGAACAATCCAGTCTGCCTACAAATCAAGTGGAAAGATGATTCCATGGCTGTGGAAAAATGGAAAATGGTATGTAAATGTTTACTGTGATTATGAATGGATTATAGTCAATGCCTTTTTGCATTTGTCAGGCATTTCTCAAGTCATGGTGTTCCCATGTTTGCAAACTTGTCATCAACTGCTGGGATGTGGAATTTGTCATTGTTAAATTTTGTATTTTCTATGATAACATGGTGTCTAAAAGGTACATAAGCTTGGAATTGGCTAAACTATAACTAGCAATTTTTCTTTTAGCTAAAAATTAACTTATAATTTAAATAATGCATGTATCTTGACTTGATTTTTCATCATGTTGTCCTGATAGGGTAAAACAGGGTTTCCATTCATTGATGCCATAATGCGTCAGTTGCGGCTGGAGGGATGGATTTCAGACATTGCTCGTCATGTTNAGATTTACACACACGCAGTGGGCGGTACAGTGCCTTAAACCTCGTCTGCCCCAGATATAATTGCGAATCTGAGTGAGGGAGAACTTTTAGCATGTACACGAACAGGCTCTGGAACTCTCTGCCCATTGACCGTAAGAAAGGAACATGTGTAACCTCATTTAGAAAGGCTATTTATAGTCATTTTTTAACGAGATACAATGACGTTGATCATTTTAGCTTTAGTGAAACTTAATTTTATTTTCTTAGTTTTATGCTAATCTGGTATTTCACAACCTTCCTTTCGCTTGACCCATCCTAGCTGTATTCTTATTGTAATTATAGTTTGTAGATATTCATTGTAAGGATATTTTATAATTGTAATATAGTTTTTTACTCTTCTTAGTCTTATCCATACATATATTTATAGTTCTTTTTCGTTAATGATATGTATTTTGTTACTTAATTTTTGTTTTAGAATGTTAGTTTGAGGGCCACTAGTTATTCAGTTGAAGTACTGTCCCGTGTTACCCTCGTTAAATAAAAGTTGATTATTATTATTATTATTATTTATGAAGTGCCCCAGGACTGGGGAAATTTGTTTGTTACATCGAGGATTCGTTATATCAAAAACCTCAATTAAACAAATTTTAGGGAAAACAAACAAAATGTTATGGTATCTTGGAGCTGTGTCATCTCTAATAATTCTTTCGTTTACTCTTTAATTTGCAGATAGTTTACAGCAACTTTCACAGTGATGGTGGAGCAAGCAAGCTGAGCCCTTATCTTAGGTTTGGTTGCCTCTCTCCACGAACTTTGTACCATTCTTTGTCAGAAACTTACCTGAAAGTATGTCACTTTATTATTTTCTGACAATGTTATTTGATCTTATTAATTTTGTAATGCTTTTTGTTGTATGTTCTGTGGGTGCCAATAGGTATGATTTATATGTGTTGATGGATAAGCACTGTAAGGTGGCTGATAACAAGTTGACTTAGATCAAAATGTAATTTCACTGTTCCATTGAGAATACACACATGCATGAGCAATAAAGAACACATAGAGTAACTAAAGAAATGACCATTATACTCACTGGGCATTAATATGGGAGACACCACTTGTTGATTGGCATTGGTGGTGGCTTTCATTATGTAACCATTTAAAGACCTTTCTTCTCCTGACACTAGGAGGTAAAGCTCAGGCCAACATCAAGGACTCAACACAGCAATGCACTGCAGTGGCAGAACACTTTGGCCAGCCATGTGCCACCCTGAGAAGAGTATTGGCAGGTCACAAGAAAACTAGAAAGGGGCACCCAATGACGGTTTCCCCTTAAATACATTGAAAACACTTTTCAGAGTAGTTTTAGATCTCTAGAAATGCATTCTAGGCGAAGCTTTAAATTTGTATCTGTTTGGTCATCCGAAGGGAACTTGCGCCTTTTCAAGGCACATGTTTTTGAGTTAAGAAGGGTATAGTCCTTGTGGTAGATTATTGTATGTCAGTGCCTTTTTGTGTCGTTGTGATCTGCAAAGTGGAACTTTGAGAAAGCATTTGCATGTAAAAAGTAGTTATTCTCCATAGCAATATCCTTTTTCTAAATCATGTTGTTATTTTTCCTTTTACTGTTGATCTTTAGGTCAAGCATCAGGCTCCTCCCTTATCACTTTTCAACTCGCTGCTGCAGAGAGATTTCTATTTTACTCTTGGCAGCAACAATCCCACCTTACACCAGATGGCGAACAATCCAGTCTGCCTACAAATCAAGTGGAAAGATGATTCCATGGCTGTGGAAAAATGGAAAATGGTATGTAAATGTTTACTGTGATTATGAATGGATTATAGTCAATGCCTTTTTGCATTTGTCAGGCATTTCTCAAGTCATGGTGTTCCCATGTTTGCAAACTTGTCATCAACTGCTGGGATGTGGAATTTGTCATTGTTAAATTTTGTATTTTCTATGATAACATGGTGTCTAAAAGGTACATAAGCTTGGAATTGGCTAAACTATAACTAGCAATTTTTCTTTTAGCTAAAAATTAACTTATAATTTAAATAATGCATGTATCTTGACTTGATTTTTCATCATGTTGTCCTGATAGGGTAAAACAGGGTTTCCATTCATTGATGCCATAATGCGTCAGTTGCGGCTGGAGGGATGGATTTCAGACATTGCTCGTCATGTTGTTGGTTCTTTTCTTACAAGAGGGTGTATGTGGCTGAGCTGGGAGGAAGGCTTCAAGGTAAAACTGGCATAGAGCTAAAAATAAAACTTGTGCTCGGTTAATAACAAGAGGCAGTCATGTATTNTAGCAATATCCTTTTTCTAAATCATGTTGTTATTTTTCCTTTTACTGTTGATCTTTAGGTCAAGCATCAGGCTCCTCCCTTATCACTTTTCAACTCGCTGCTGCAGAGAGATTTCTATTTTACTCTTGGCAGCAACAATCCCACCTTACACCAGATGGCGAACAATCCAGTCTGCCTACAAATCAAGTGGAAAGATGATTCCATGGCTGTGGAAAAATGGAAAATGGTATGTAAATGTTTACTGTGATTATGAATGGATTATAGTCAATGCCTTTTTGCATTTGTCAGGCATTTCTCAAGTCATGGTGTTCCCATGTTTGCAAACTTGTCATCAACTGCTGGGATGTGGAATTTGTCATTGTTAAATTTTGTATTTTCTATGATAACATGGTGTCTAAAAGGTACATAAGCTTGGAATTGGCTAAACTATAACTAGCAATTTTTCTTTTAGCTAAAAATTAACTTATAATTTAAATAATGCATGTATCTTGACTTGATTTTTCATCATGTTGTCCTGATAGGGTAAAACAGGGTTTCCATTCATTGATGCCATAATGCGTCAGTTGCGGCTGGAGGGATGGATTTCAGACATTGCTCGTCATGTTGTTGGTTCTTTTCTTACAAGAGGGTGTATGTGGCTGAGCTGGGAGGAAGGCTTCAAGGTAAAACTGGCATAGAGCTAAAAATAAGACTTGTGCTCGGTTAATAACAAGAGGCAGTCATGTATTTTATTTAAGCACTGGGGGCACAATGTTGCATCAGGAGTTCTATAGAATTTGAGCAAAGAGTCGTGGTATGATTCTGGTATTGATTAGAAGTAATTTGATCATGTACAGCTGGCCAAGTTCATTAAGATCTGTTATAAACCTTAACTAACAGAAGTAATAAAGTTTTATTTGAATACTACGTGCTGGGAAATGGGAACCCAATGAAGTTTAACTACATGTAGAACTATGGCCTAATGATAATTATATATAATTATGATCAAATTTATAAGTACCAGGTACCAAACAAGCTGCTGTATTTTGTAATATAGTTTAAGTTTACACTGAGCTGATATTATCAGGTAATCCATAAAAGAGAGATCCAGTTGCTGTTATCTAATTTAGAATTTGTAAACAAGTTCATCGTCAGATGAAAAAGTTTAAATAGGCTTAAACAAGTTCCTCAGATAACAGACTAACAATTTGCAGAGATGTTTTATTGCATAGTCAATTAGGGCCTAATGTTTATCTAGGTTTATGTCAAGACTTGTAGCCTTCTGATTTGGGTGTTCTTTAATTTCCAGTGTTCACATAATAAAGTCTAGAGGAAAGCCAGTTTGAGAATTTCAGGCCCATTTACATACATGTGCAAAAAATTTGGAACAGCACAGTTTAAGTAGAATTTTACATGTAAAAGTGTAATTGACCATTCTAATTTCACTTATTCCATTCCAAAAATGTCATAAGGGAGATATGGTCCCCTTTTTTAGTGTAACTTATAAAAATCAGTTCCTGCTTTGTTTCCTTTTCAGTGTGTGAACACTTGCCCTTTTCTTGGTACCGATCATTCAATATGTATTAAAGTATGGTCCTTTATCCTGGTGTCAAGAAAACTGTAATTTTCAGTCAGTTGTCACCACACTCACCACGTTCTGTTAGCAGTCAGGTGTGCATATGCACTGGGTAGATCAGACATGTGGCTCTTAATCAATCAGATTGCTAATATATTATCGATAACATGAACAGATCTTTGCCAACATGTTACAATTTTATTGTGTTTCTAGGTGTTTGGAGAAATGCATCTAGATGCAGAGTGGAGTCTCGATGCTGGAAGCTGGCTGTCATTTTCTGGAAGCATTTTTGACCAACAAAATTTGACTATTCTCTGTCCTGTAGAGAGTGGGAAAGTGATAGATCCAACAGGAAATTATACAAGGTAAATGGCTTATGAATTACAATAAGTGATCTAATTGACGCCTCCTCTCAATGAAACGCCTTGTGTGTAATAAACGCTCCCCACAACAATTGCTTAAAAATACTAAGAAATAGTCAACAGGAAAATCATTCAATTTCTTCATTTTCTTCGTTGATCACGCATACAAAGGGTTTGCTCATTGCGTCTTGTTCAGTATCAAGTTTGGAGTAAGGATACGATAATGATGACAACACAATGATCATGAAGGAGAATTCTGTCATTGGAGATGAGATTTGACTGAGAGCGATAAGGAATCCTCCAGACAGCAGCCTAGATGTTTCAATGAGTTGACTAGATATTCTCCTATTTGTCAACTCTCTTGGTATTTTCCCTGAAGGAGTATTATTAATTTTGTTTCAGCTTGTTGCAGTTATGAGAATAAATGCCTCCTATCTATTAAATGTCCCCTCTTGGACCCCTTAATAATTTTAAATAAACGCCTTGGCATCTATTAGATCATTCACGGTATGTAAACTTTCATTGTCAGCTTTTGGGGGAATGTCAGTTTCTTTTAGACATATCATTTATCCCACAGAGAAGAAGATGCATAAAAAAATTTTAATTTTCAGCTTGGTAAAAGACATGGTAAATTGAAAATAGAAAAAATCGGAACGAATAACCAGTATCTCAAAGCCTATTATAGTGACCTCAAACAACTGTCTTTTAGGAAATATGTGCCCGAAGTAAGGGGCCTACCAAATGAGTATGTATTTGAGCCCTGGAAAGCCCCGCAGTCAGTGCAGAAAGCTGCGGCATGTTTGGTCGGCAAGGATTATCCATTACCACTGGCAGATCACAGAGAGCAAAGGAGAGTATGTGTGCAGAGGCTGAAAAAGCTTGCAAAGACAATTGGCACCGGCAGAGCAGGTAAATTAAAATGGTCAAGCAGCGTGCAAAGAAAGTACTGTCCGACAGCCCGGGGCTAGTGGATTTTGCTATCGGGCTAGTGAATTCTGTTTTTAACTTGCCCGACGGGCTAGTGATGTTTTATGAGGTATTTGAATAACAGAAGAACAAAACGTTTTTGGGGCTAGTTGAAATGACGTCTGGGCTAGTAAATGCTAGCTTCAGCTTGCCCGAATGGCAAGCTGTAAAAATGATTTTCTTTGCACCCTGGTCAAGTTGTTTGCACTCCTAGTAAAAAGGTTGTACTACAATGCCAAGACACAAGCCCTTCCGATCGGTCCCTGCAAGTATAATTTTGACTTAACTTTGAATGGTTCTGGCGTTACTAAACTTCCCTCTATCAGAATCTTGGGCGTGGAACTTGATAGCATGTTAAATTTTATGGAGCATATTTCTAGTCAGCTAAAAAAGACGTATGTGAAGACCGGCGCACTTAGGAGAATTAGGCATTTTGTACCTATGGACGTTTCTACCACATCTAGAACACTGTAGTCCCCTCCTGTTAGGGGTGGGGAAAGTCTAGGCCAATAAAATTGAAGACGCCAATCATTATATATAAAGGACTCTGACAGGGCACGGGAAATCATTGTCCTACCAAGAACTCTTAAATATATGTAAGTTGGACACTTTAGAGTGAAGGAAAAAACCGCAATCTCTGATCCTATTATTTAAATGCATTAGGATTATAGGGCCGAAATACATTAAAGACTTTTTTAGCATAAGAGAGACGTCTTACAATTTAAGAGGAAATGGTGTTAATCTTTTCGTTCCCAAATTTAATCTTAATTTTATGAGGAACTCTTTCACATACAAGTGCGCTCAACTATATATGGAACAAACTTCCAAAAGATGTCAAGCTGGCCGATAATATTAATATTTTTAAGTCTAAGCTAAGGTCAACTCAGCTGTAATTTTTTATATTTTTAATTAATTTTTTTTGGAATTTTTATAATTTTTTATATTCATGTGTACATAGATTATAGATTGTATGTATATATATTTTCATTATTATTATTATTTTTTAACACTAGATTTTTATTATAACTGTAGTTTTAATGCACGTGCGTATTTTGAACGAGCACTTGTGCTCTTAGGCGTTTACATGGGTAAATAAATTATTGATTGATATTGATTAATAGATTGGTCTTGTGTTGTAGGGGTAACATTTCTGGCAGGTAAACTTTGGTGAGGAAAATAACACAGATTTGTGATGTAAGTGTTCATACCAAATAGTTTAACGACAACACGTGTCTTGTTTTCTGCAGTAGACGCAAGAGGACACACAAGTGTGCACTTGTTTCGGAAAGACCTCCGGCTTCATGACAACCCAACCTTACGTTCATGTCTGGAGGGAAGTGGCACGTTTTACCCAGTGTATATATTGGATACTGAGGCAGCTAGGCAGAGCAATATTTCTGCCAACCGTTGGAACTTCTTGCTGGAATGCCTGCATGATCTGGATAGTCAGCTAACACGGCTTGGATCTCGTCTGTTTGTAGTGCGCGGCAGGGATGTGGAGGTGCTTCCAAAGTTGCTTTCCGAGTGGGGAGTATCGCGCCTCAGTTTTGAAACTGACAGCGAGCCTTTTGGTGCTCAGCGAGATGCTGTTTTACGGAAAATAGCAGAGGATGCTGGAATTGAAGTTTTGAGCAAAACATCACACACACTGTATGAGCCAGGCCAGATTTTACATGCCAACGAGGGAGTTGTGCCCATGCTGTTTGAGGATTTTGTGAGAGTTGTGGAAGACAGTGAAATCAATGTACCTGGACCAGTGGAAACAGTGGATAAACAATTGATGGGTTCTTGTGTGACACCAGTAGGTATTGATCACCACGTGAAATTCGGAGTACCTGGATTGAGCGAACTGGGAGTGAAGGACAGCCGTTTAGTAACAAGTTCAGGTGTGTGGAAAGGAGGAGAGCAGGAGGCACTGAGAAGACTTGCCCTGTTGGAAGGAGAGGTATGATAAATAATAAATATTATTTTCTTCGCACTGATAGGCAAAGCTAACTTGTTGTTGGTTAGCTTTGGTTGGTAAGGC